TTGTTCATTATTTTTTTTACTGTAGTCACATCAAATTATATTCTTCTCTCCTCAGTGGTTTCTAAAACCTTGAATGATACTCCTTTTATAGGAAGCACTACAATGTCAGCATCTCTTCAATTTCTTTACAGTCCTACCAGCTCTCTCAGTGTCTCTCACTTCTGTAAGTTCCCCACACATCCTACTTCTTCCCTCCCAATATACAAGAGCTAATCCGTTACAGCCTAATGAAAAGAACAAAGAAGCAGCTACTTCACAAAATTATGTCTGCTTTTATTAGTAAACTTAGTGAAGATAATGCCAGTACTTTACAAATTATGGAGAAAAAAATTTCTAGAAAATGTAATGGATCTAGAAGAAAAGAAGGTGAATTTCAGTTGAGGTAGAATATTCCTTAATATCTGATGAGTGAGTTTATTTCAGGCAAATAAAAACAGAACTTAAGAAAATAGATCACAAGAGAAGACAATTTCAAGAAGGCTGAATATATATTTAGAGGAGAGGTTAGTATTGGTGAAAAAAGAAGAGAAACTACTGAATCTATCAGAGGAAAAACTATTCTTATCCAGGGATTCATAGATTTCCTAGGAAAGGAAGAGTCTAAGATCAACAGGTAAATAAAAGCACAATAACATTGGCAATGAAAAAAGTAATTTGGGATTCTATTTCGAAAAAAATATAAAGGGTCAGATTATAGGAAGAAACTGAGCTCATCACCAGATATAATAGTGATGAAATTTTAAAAATTCAGGCTAATATGTGATTAATGTGGTCATGTTTCTTAACCCAGCAGGTCACTATGACATTTCAGGGATGTGGGTAAGGAAGAGATCAGTAAGAGAATATCTCTAATTCATTTACATTCTAAAAGGAGGAAATGCAATTACTACTACTCTTTCAAGATTAAAAAAAAATTGTGGTTTTGATGCATTGAAACCTGTCTTTTTATTTAAGTTAACATCCTACTGGTGGTTTCTTACTAGGCCAAGAGATAGCTATGTGGTATGCTTAAAAATTGCCCCCTGTGAGAGTCATTTGGAAAGACGAAAGGAAAGCTGTAACCGAATGAAGATATTCATGGGCCCAGAGAGGTGGCTAATGCCTGTAATCCCAGCGTGTTGGGAGACTGAGGCAGGCAGATAACTTGAGGTCAGGAGTTCAAGACCAGCCTGGTGTACACGGTGAAACTCCATCTCTATTAAAAATACAAAAATTAGCCAGGTGTGGTGGTGGACTCCTGTAATCCCAGTTACTTGGGAGGCTGAGGCGAGAGAATCTCTTGAACCTGGGAGGCGGAGGTTGCAGTGAGCCAAGATCATACCACTGTACTCCAGCCTGGGAGAAACAACAAGACTCCATCTCAAAAAAAAAGAATGAAAATATTCACAGCCAGAGAAGATTGTAGGCTAGCAGGCTAACAATGTTTTCTGATACCTGGGAGAAAGAAATATAGTAATGAAAAACATAACAAAGAAATAGTTGTGTCAGAGATCATAACAGATATATGTATATATTTAATATTTAGCCATCTAAAAACCAAAAATGTAAAACTTGTGAGGTTGAATCATGCAAAACAACAATACTCTTCCTCCAAATATTCTTGGCTTGGTGAGAAAATTCTGAGCTGGAAGGATTCTGATTCAATTAGTGTTCCATACATTATTTTGTGGTTTTTTTTTTTTTTGAAGTAATGCTGAATACAACCTTAGTCACCAAATTTCTCCTCTTGGGAGTGACAGACATACAAGAACTGCAGCCTTTTCTCTTCGTGGTTTTCCTCACCATCTACTTCATCAGTGTGGCTGGGAATGGAGCCATTCTAATGATTGTCATCTCTGATCCTAGACTCCATTCCCCTATGTATTTCTTCCTGGGAAACCTGTCCTGCCTGGATATCTGCTACTCTACGGTGACACTGCCAAAGATGCTGCAGAACTTCCTCTCTACACACAAAGCAATTTCTTTCTTGGGATGCATAAGCCAGCTCCATTTCTTCCACTTCCTGGGCAGCACAGAGGCCATGCTGTTGGCCATGATGGCATTTGACCGCTTTGTGGCTATCTGCAAGCCACTTCGCTACACTGTCATCATGAACTCTCAGCTCTGTACCCAGATGGCCATCACAATCTGGACCATTGGTTTCTTCCATGCCCTGCTGCACTCCGTAATGACTTCTCGCTTGAACTTCTGTGGTTCCAACTGTATCCATCACTTCTTCTGTGATGTGAAGCCGTTGCTAAAGCTGGCCTGTGGGAACACTGAGCTCAATCAGTGGCTGCTCAGTACCGTCACAGGGACAATCGCAATGGGCTCTTTCTTTCTCACATTTCTCTCTTATTTCTACATTATCACCCATCTCTTCTTCAAGACTCATTCTTTTAGCATGCTCCACAAACCACTGTCCACTTGTGCCTCCCACTTCATGGTAGTTATTCTTTTGTATGCACCTGTTCTCTTCACCTATATTCATCCTGCCTCAGGGACCTCCATGGACCAGGACCGGATCATTGCCATCATGTACACTGTGGTCACTCCAGTACTAAACCCACTGATCTACACTTTGAGGAACAAGGAAGTGAAGGGGGCCTTTAATAGAGCAATCAAAAGGTAGCTTTGACCTAAAGAAATCTTGAAGAACTCTTCTGAAGCATAAATAAACAATTAAAAAGTTGAGTTTGTAATTATACTCTTTCTTAAATTATTTAGAAATGTACAACAGAGGGAACTGGATAAAACAAAAATATATGGAAAAATATGCTGTAATTGTATTTAACAATGTTTTCCTAGGTTATATAAGGGACATTTGAATGAATGGGATGCTAGCCATGGAACTCTACTGCTGACTAAGTTTTGAAGATATCAGTTGATAAAATTGATGTTAGGTTTTTTATATGTTCTTATAATGAAATTGGTATTAGAAATATGCCTGTTTCCCATGTATTAAATAGATGGATAATACTTGAGTCTATTTGTCTATCTGGTCCTACTAGGTTAATGCATTATAATATTATAAATAAAATTACTATGCTTTGATATTATGAGGATTTTATTTTAGGGCCATAGTTACTCAACTGGAAAAGTATATGCTAACTGACATATGAGTTAAGGAGAATTTTTAAGGGGTGTGCCTTGATTTCTTATTCTTTAAACAAGGAGACAAATAAGTAATTAAAGCAAATGACATTGTAATCACTAAATAACAACAACAACAACAAAAACTCTGACAGTTCATCTAAATAGTTTTGGCACCTCTGTCTCCAGATATCTTTTAAAAGTCAACTGTCCAAACCCTCAATGATTACTTAAAATATTAAAAATCGGAGATAATTTAACAAAGCTCTTAAGACTCTTTCAATCTCATTAGAAAGTTATTGTTTCCTCAGCTTTTAATTGTGGAAGATGATGACTTTATCAAAATTTTATTTTCTTTTTCTTACTTGTCACCAAACTCATACTAAGGAAAGGCATAGAAGTCATAATTATTGAAGAATTTCTAGACATGAACTACTATGTTCCTCACTTTTTAAGTTCCTATAAATGACTTCTGTCCCTGAAGAAATGGTGGATTCTACAATTTATAAATATTTAAAGAATAGACAGAAAATACTAAGAAAAGGCATTTTAAGCTGGTGGACTGACCCTTCAAGGTCTCTGCATTCACTTTTGTAAATCTAAACGATTTTATTCTGACTTCTCTCCATGCGTCTTTTGTCTTCTAACTCCACCTTCTTTGGTCCCTCAATTCTAGTTTAGTTTATAACAAAACAAAACAACAATGTGTGTGTGGAGATGGCAACTCCTAATCTCAACTGTCCCACACTATCAGTAATATATTCGATGCATATTTTATACAATATGTTTTTTCTCTCATTCCTGGTGGTGAGAATTTGTCACATAATTCAAACTTCACAGAGTGTGTGAACTATAGAAGAGCACATGGGGTTCTGGTTAACTATTAGTGCATGACACACTAGGACCCCAAAATTCAATCCCTTAAAACAATTAAGTTACATGCTTCATTGGGTAAGAAAATTTGGGAAAACACAGCAGAGAATGGTTGACTCTGATCCATAATGTCTCTGACCTTTGCTGGAATGACTTTAATTCTGGTCGTGGAATAGCTGAGAGCTGAGTAAGTCTCTCTCTCTCTTTATTTCTTTTTCTTCTTCCTTAATTGCTCATTGTGACTGTCATATGCTTCTTCAACAGGGAAGCCTCAGACAGACTTTTTCATATTCCAGTAGACCATGGCAAAAGCTGCCAGCCTAGGGCTAAGATTGACCAGTAATAAAATGTCTCCTATTCAAAAAAACCCAGGATCTGATGGCTTTATTGATGTATACTACCAAACATTTAAAGGATAATTAATGCCAGTCTTCTCAAACTTGCTCAAAAATATGAAAAGGAAGAAATACTTTTAAATTCGCTTTATGAGGTCAGCATTACCCTGATACCAAAGCCAGACAAGGCAACTATAAGGAAATAAAGTTACAGGGCAATATCCCTGATGAACATAGATGTAAAAATCCTTAATAAAAACTAGCAAAATGAATTCAACAGCACATTAAAATGATCATGCACCATGACTAAGTGGGATTCATCCTTAGGATGCAAGAATGGGTTAACATACACAAATTAATAAATATGATATGCCACATTAACATACTGAGGGATAAAAACCATATGATAATAGGTGCAGAAAAAGCATTTGATAAAATTCAATATTGTTTCATAACTAAAAGAAACTTCCAACAAATTAGGTATAGAAGAAACGTAGCTTAATATAATAAAGGTAATGCATATCAAGTCCACTGCTATTCTCATTATCAATGTTGGAAAGCTAAAAGCTTTTCTTCGAAGACCAGGAACAAGTCAAGGAGGCCCACTTTTACAATTTCTCTTCAATATAATTCTGACATTCCTAGATATAGCAATTACACAAGAGAAAGAAATAAAAGGCTTCCAAATTAAAAAGGAAGAAGTAAATTGTTTGTTTGCAGATGAGGTGATCTTACATCTAGAAAACCCAAAAGACTACACCAGAAACTGTGAGAACTAATAAATTTAGTTAAGTTCACAGGATACAAAATTAACGTACAAAAGCCAGTTGCATTTTTACAACAATGATCTATCTGAATAGGAAATCAAGAAAACAAGTATATTTACAATAATGTCAAAGGTAAACAAAATACTTAGGAATAAATCTAACCAAGAAGGTGAAAGATCTGTACCTTGAAAACTATAAGGCATGGATGATAGAAATTGAAGAAGATACAAATAAATGAAAAGATATTCCTTATTCATGGATTGGAAGAATTCATATTGTCAAAATGCTCATACTTCTCTCAGCAAACTACAGATTCTTTGCAATCCCTATTAATATGCTAATGGAATTTTTTACAGAAATAGCA